AATTCCCCAGCCAGCATGCTGGCTGGGGAATTCTGAGAGTTGAAGTTCAGACATCTTAAAGATGTGAAAGTTGAGAAACGCTGCAATATATTGCAGATTTCTATCCTTTCAGCTCATGAGGGAGGGATGTGTGCATGCTTGAATGTTTCTGTGTGTGAGAGAGAATGGTTTCTCATACACAGGTGGGGATTATTTTTATAAATGGAACTCCTTTTTTTAACATTAATTTTAATCAGCCATTATTCTTTCAAGTAATTTCTTTTGTCCTAGCCTTGCTGTACTTTGGAGTTTGGCTTCTCAGAGCTATATATACCTATGGGCACACACATGTATATATAAAAGGATCGGTGCAAGTAGAGTTGGCAATCTTAGATTGACTTTGCATAAGATTTTTGTCTATGTGTGAGTTTTGTTTTATTTTTGTTAATTCTTCCTTTCTTGGAGACTCATCTTAAATTCAGGCACATCTTTTTGTAGTACTTAAATGTATACCTTTCTCATATGCATAATGTATCTGATGCATTATTTAAAGTGATTTTATTTCCCTTCTATCCTTTACATGCCATTTCCAAATATTGAAAAATATCATCCCAATAAGTACATTTAGTCATGCTTACTTTAACAAATATGATGATATGATAGTAAAAGAAGCTTCATTTTGTTGTCAGCGACAGCATTAATTCTTTCAGTTTCTGACCTTTCTAGCTTCTTTCTCTTCTAGAAATATATCTTTGCATTATATCTTTCTGAAGGCATGGTCCAAAAAACAAATGATAATATGTTTGAACAAATAAGAACTAAAAAAATACAGGATGTAACATTGAATTCCAAAATTATGAGATCAATATCTTGAATTGCATTGAATAAAATCTGCCAGCCCTCATCCAACCTATTTGGATTCTTCTGGAATATACTCTGCAGTTATCTTTTTTACTTGATGTTCTTCCTTTTCTATTTATTTTAGGTGCCTGGTATTTTTATCCCTTTGGGCTCCAACCTTCTATGTTTTCTTGGGGAATGATGAAATTATTTCCTTCTGGCACCAAGAAGGACCATGAAATGGGAGACTTTGTTGTATTTTCTGAGGTGTGTACTATGCCGATCTTCGGGTTGTGCTTGTAAGGAATATGCGTGTGGATGTCACCTGTTGCAGAATTCTAACCTTTGCTAAAAATGGACAGTGTTTAAGAGGAATTGCAAGGAATTCTCCACCCATGTCATAAATGTAGCATAGACACTTAACAACCTTAACGTTACATTGATAGATTCCTTCAGACTAAAAGATGGCTAGTGGTTAAAAAAATTGAGTTAGGAGGTCTGTAGTTGGAATGTTGTTTTTGCCATGGACTTGCTGCATGGCCTTAGACAAAATATACTCTCTCAGCCTCAAATCCTTCTATTTACAATGTGTAATACTGACTTGACCTACAAGGGTATTCTACAAATTACAACTATCTAATGCATATTCAATATGCAGTAACAATGTGCAGTATAAGAATAATGATATCAACATCAAACAAAAAAGATGTATAAATCAGCAGTGAGGAAGCTGGCTCTTAACTGGTTCTTGAACTACAGCTCCCAACACCATTAGCTATACTGGCTGGGACTGGTGGGAGTGGAGATTCTGTAGCATTTGGAGAGTTGTGTGCTGTATTGCTTAAAATGTTGGACAAACTGCAGAAATTCAAGTTACGTCCACCATCACTATGCTCACTAAATGACTTTGGGTCAGTCACTATTTTCATTCCAATCTGTATCATAAGTTGGTTGGAAAAAATTGGGGGGAGACAGTACTCTTTACACTCATTTCAAGTTCTTTTTTTTAAAGGAAAGCCAAAATATACAGTATATCTGTTAAATACTGTAAATACATTTATATATCTCAAGATGAATGAATGTTAATATAATATAAGTTATTCTGTAATTTAAAGTGAGTCCAAGTTGTTAAGAAAATTATACCAGGTCTTCATGTTGCATCTGGGAGCAACCCGGAAACCAGTGTAGCTGAAGAAAAAAGAAGTTATTCCGTTCACTCTAGCCCACAAATGATCCAGGTTTCTACATTTTTCATTGGCTGCAGTCCACATAGAACATCCTGTATTATTCAATTCTGGAGGTTATTAAACTATGGATGAGAATAGCATTTCATTCTTTTTTCTTTTGTATTGTCCCTTGATTAAAAGGCCCAGCAGCAGGTTTTGTCTCGGCTCCAGGCTCTGGAAAGACGTTTTGAGACCCTGGAAACTGCAGCTTCTGTGCTAGAATTCCAGAAAAGAAAGAACACAGAAGATGCCACTCTATCACATGATGATACTCTGGTGCTTCTGGATGAGCTGATGACTCGGCAAGAGGCAGCCATGAGAGAGAAGTTTCGCTCAGACACAGATCTTCATCTCCAGGTCAGAGAGTGGGGAGGCCAACTGGGACTAAAAGGGAGGTGCATTGTAGAAGCTTGAATCACTGTCAACTAGAGCCTGTAATTGCTTAAAGAATGTTAATCTCCAATCTCAAAACCTGTATTTGAACTCTAACTAGAAGCTCATTAGACACTGTACTTCTACCCTACTATAAATTGAACAGACTCTTGGTAGCTTACCATAAAATAAAACATAAGACGTATAATACAAAAAACCAACTATCTTAAATACCTAAATCACTAGCAACAATTAAGAGGTGTCATGCTTCAAATGCCCTCTGGAAGAATTTCATCTTCAACTTCTGGAAAATGAACAGTGTCAGAGCTAAGTGACCTCCAACAAGAAGCCATTCCGAAGGGCTGCCCCTACAACAAAAAAATTCTTCCAGCCTTCATCCCCCTTGACCTCCAGAAAATGAGGAACAACCAGCTGTTTCTTCTGGCATAATCAAATTGGTCAGGCCAATTTCTGTAGAGAGATTAGGTCCTGCAAGTAACTTGGGGGTGAGCTATGAAGGTCTTTATAGGTTAAAACTAGCATTTTGAATTGTATTTGAAAGCTGATAGGAGTCAATGCAGGGCCCACAATACAGGTGTCAACTGATCCCACGAACTGCTGCTGGCGAGCACTTGGGCCACCGCATTTTGCAGATGACATTCACAGAACCTCAACATTAAATAAACTTACAAAAATTGTCAAGATTGCATTGATATCACCTGAAACCTCATAAGATCTCAGGATGAGGTTGCCGCCATTTCATAAAATCTACATGTGTACTTGAAAATATTGCTGTTTTTTGGCATAAGAACTGTGTACAACGATGTGAAAAAAGTTGGAGTCTAGATGAACAGAAGAGAGGAGTAATTGCTCTTTATAATTACATCTTGGAGCTGTATTCATTTTTACGCATTAAAGAAATTTAAAAGTTGTAAATTTTAAAACTCTACTTCAGTTTAAAGAGTACAGTTTTGAATTTTTTAAATCAGCATTTATCTCCTGTAATTAATGCTTGTGTTCTTTCTTTCTCTCTTTTGTGCAGAATGAGCTGGATGCTTTCCGATCCCAGGTGCAAAAGGATTTTGACAGTTTCCTGAAGAAAGTCTCTCAGGCTTCCGAGGTACAATTTCCTTACCATTTGTTACAAAGTGGGCAGATGCAGTGATATAGGAAAGCCTGTCTTGCTCTGTAATGTTTATGCATGTAACCTTTATGTCAGTATTTCAGAGATGTTTTTCAGAACTTTTTGAAACATCTGGCAACACTACTGGACACAATCAGTTAAATTTTGCCATTTAAATGTGAGACATGGATCTTATCCTACGTACCACTGAATTTTAGTGGACTTAATCCTGAAAAAGGGAACTTCCCATTGACACAAACAGTACAGCTGATAAAAAGGGAAATGGTCCAAAAAGAAGAGCTATCTTAAACACAATCCCTGTATTGCCAGGACATGTTGTGCTCTTCCATTGTTTGGGGTTTTTTTTGGGGGGGGGTTGCAATGGGTCTGTTTAGTGAGGCAAAGTCAGTTGCCCATGACACACTTACGGAGGATCGAGGATTTTCTAGCTTTTTCGGGGAGTGGGGAGGTCTTGGGTTTTTCTTTTTTTAATCTATATTTAGGGGTTAACCACAGTTTTTCTGTTTTCTGCTTCAAAACGGTGGGAAACTGTAGTCCAAATGTTCAGTTGTTACAGCAGGAGGATGCTCTGGGGGCTGTAACAATATGGAGATGGGGTGTATAGTCTGAGGTTCCAAAGCTTCAGGTTGTCTATCTCTGTTTTAGCTGAAATCCCTGCCTAGGTAGAGAGTCTTATCTTGCTGGGTGGGTTGCTAGCATTTGCTTGTTCCTTTTCAGCAAGCTTTGGAAGATCCCAAACGCAACGATAACCTATATCTGATAACCTGTATCTGACAAGTGTGCATGTCAGGAAGCTGCCCTGCAAACCATTTAAGGACATGAACTGGTGCAAAACTGGCTCAAAGATCAACCATTCCTGGGGAGATGGTTGGTGTATAAATTAAGAAAGGAGAAAGAAAAGAAAATGATTATGAAACTTCAAGAGGGTGATACTGTAATAACGGACAATGAGACTATACCAAAAAATTGTTCATCACTATTACTCTAATTTATATAAAAGACAGGATCTCCCTCTGGAAAACATAGATGACTGCTTAAAAAAACAAAAATTGCCAAAGCTTTTAGATAACCAAAGATAGATTATGAATGGACCCATAACAATAATGGAAGTATCTGAAGCGATTAAAAAGATTAATCCGAGTAAAGCCCCAGGACCAGGTGGATTTCTGGGATCATACTATAAAAATTTTGAGGATGAAATTCTACAACCGCTCCAATTTATGATGAACTCTATATTGGTGGAAGGTAGAATGCAAGAGTCTTGGAAGGAAGCCAATATAGTGTTGTTACCAAAAGGACAAGATCTGACTTTAACTAAAAATTATAGACCTGTATCATTATTGAATAATGACTATAAGCCGTTCACAATTATTTTAGCAGATAGATTGAAAGTTATACTACAAGAATTCATTTATGAAGATCAGTGTGGATTTTTACCTAAGAGACAATTAAAAGATAATGTTAGAACAGTGCTAGACATTATAGAATATTTGGAACAGCATAATGAAAAACAAGCTGCATGATTTTTTTGGATGCAGAGAGAGCTTTTGACAATTTAAATTGGCCTTTTATGTTTAAAGTTTTGGAAGATATGAACTTTGGAGAGAATTTTATAAAGGAGCAAGATCGATTTATACATCATAGAAAGTACAAATTATTGTGAATGGAGACTTAACTAAATTATGTGAGATACAAAAGGGAACGAGACAAGGTTGCCCCCTGTTTCCCTTGTTTAGTTTTGGAAATTTTGAACAGAGATATAAGGAGAGATGAGAATATAAGGGGCATAAAAATCAAGAAAGAGACATGTAAGTTGAGACCCTTTGCAGATGATTTGGTGTTGGTGCTGGAGGACCCCTTAAAGGTGATTGAAGCTTTGATGAAAAAGTTGGAAGAATTTGGTGTTTTGGCTGGTTTTAAAATTACTAAACAAAAGACTAAAATGTTAAAGAAAAATATGAGAAATAAGAACAAGAATAATTGATGAACAAAATGGGTTTTAATGTTGAAAAAAAGGTTAAATATTTGGGGGTGAATTTGACAAATAGTAGTTGTATGTTGTTTCAAAATAATTATGTTAAGACTTGGAATGAAATTAAAAAAGATATGTTAAGACGGGAGAAATTACAGTTGTTATTGTTGGGAAGAATTTCAGTAATTAAGATGAATGTTTTACCTAGAATGTTATTTTTGTTTCAAACAATACGTGTTAGGACAACTAATTTAAACAATGGCATAAAGACATATCTAAATTTGTGTGGTAAGGTAAAAAAAACACAAATTAAGTACAAAGTTTTACAGGATGCTAAAGAAAGAGGAGGTTTAGGTCTCCTGAATTTGCAGTTGTACTTTGCAGCTTGTTGTTTGGTGTGGATGAAAGAGTGGGTGGCTTTGAGAAATAGGGGGTTATTGGAACTAGAGGGGCATGACCTGAAATTTGGGTGGATGGCTATTTATGGTACGATAAAGTTAAAGTTAATGTAGGTTTTAGAAATCATTTTATTAGGCATGCCATATTGAGAATAGGGAATAGATAGATATAAATCTATGTTTTCTCCAAAGGTTCCTTTATGATTGTCACCACAAGAAGCTTTTTAATGCTAACTGGAAACCTTTTTTGGACTTTCTGCAGGACACAGAAAAAAATGAAATTATGCAGTATGGATTTGATGATTAGAAACAATATGGATTAATAGAAATAATGGAAGTTATGTTGTAAATTTAGAGCAGGAGTTTGATGTATATTGTTACTTATATCTGTAACAAGGAGGGTCGGAAGTCAATTCTTTTCTTTCTTTTGTCGTTTCTCTCCTTTTCTCTCCTTTTCTTTTCTTTTGATCTACTGTATGTTATTTTCTTTTTCCAATTTCTTTTTCCTTCTTTTTAATATTAGTTTTTGTTAGTTTTTACTACTCTCTTTTAAAAATTTAATAAAGTTATTACAAACAAAAGAAGATCAACCGCTGCCCCCATTTTCTTTTTCCTTTTTTTTACCCTTTTTTGTTTTGTTTTTGTTTTTTGGCTTTTAATTATCTGCCTAAGAATTTTAAGAAGCTTGAAAGTTCGTAACTGGTACAAAAGCTTGCCTGTGCTGATGGCTGGTATTTCTCCCACAGCAGGTGGAGACCCGGATGCTCGAAGTGACAGCTCAGTGGCAAAGGTAATTTGAGTGCCATAAGCAAATCATTCTGCCTATTTCCACCTTACGAAAAGGAAGAATGGAGTAGTGGGGTGAACACTTGCAGTTGGATTGGATTATTAGAATCAAATGCAGGAATTGTGATTGATATTAGAATTGTTATTCTAAAACAGCATTTTAGCACTCATAATATTCAGTGCATTCTTACCCAAACCCTTACTCTAGGATAATGGTTAAAAAGTGATTATTTTAACTGAAGTCTGACTTTTCTGCCTGGGCAGTTACCATTCCTCAGGTCATTTTAAGAAGGTACATTTCTATCTCATTTGTGCAGGGCACTTTTGCTAAACACTTCTGTGCTAAGTTTATTAAGCAGTGCTGCAAGAATACACATGCGTTAAAATAGTACATAAAAATTTAGAACTCTTTTTAACAAGTGAGTGTATCTTCCAATGCTTTGCAAAAGAAATTTGTTCGTGGTCAGATATGACTAAATTGGGGGTTGCTCATATTTTGTACCAACATGCTTGAGATAATGCTTCTCTGTACTTTGCTGAAGTATACCTCCCAGCATCTCCATCCATTGATCATAGAAGCAGGGTTGCTGGGAGCTGGGGTTCAACAGCATATGGAGGACCACATACTGCCCATCCACTTAAAGCTAGATACTCTTTATATGTATTTATTTAAACCATTTTTGCCTTGCTTTTCAATAGACAAGGACTCCAGAGGCAGCTGACATAAAATCCATTAACAAACAAAACTAAAATTAGGTTTTTCCAACAATTGCTTTGCTATGATATCAGATTGTACAATGATCCCATTTATTGTGTAGACTATTATTAATATAGAAAAGGCTAAATGCACAGTTTGGATTAGATCATTTAAGGTTTATGTAAATGGATTCGCTGTTGAAATGTTCATACTCCTAAGCTAGCTTTCAATAAACATGATTAGAAGAGGTAGATGAATACCTTTATTTGTATTGCATTATAAGCAGCATCTCAACATCTTTTTCTGTTTTTTCCTGTTTCGAAGCTCCACAAAAGAAAGTCTAATGAGTAATTTCCAAAGGGAAATGGGCAAGATGGAGACACATCTATCAAGTCTGAAGAAGGAACTTATGGCTTTGAGCTCTGATCAGAAGGTATTGTCAAGACAAGTGGAATCTCTTCCAGGGCAGATCAAGGAAATGCGAGAAGATGTGAGTTTCCCAATAAGTTTAATTTCATTTATTTATTTATCTTAAACATGTATGGACCATTTGTCTTTTCAAAAAACCCTGAAGTGGTGGGGAGGGCGGAGCTGGCGTCGCGGCGATACGGCGGGCGATCCTGGGTTCCCAGGATCGCAG